GGCTTAGCTTTCAGTTTAGTTTGTTCTTTTTCTAGTTCCTTAAGTTGTAACGTTAGGTTATTTCAGATTGTTCTTGTTTTTTAATGTGAGCATTAATAGCTATAAATTTCCCCCTTAGCACTGCTTTCATTGTTTTCCATTAGTTTTGGTAGGCTGTGCTTTTGTTTTCATTCATCTCTCAGCATTTTCTTATTTCCCTTTGATCTTTTATTTGATCCACTGGTTAAGAGTATGTTGCTTAATTTCCATAAATTTGTGAATATTCCAGTTTTATTTCTGTTATTGATTTTTAACTTCATCCCATTATGGTTGGAGAAGATACTTTGTGTGATAGCCATCTTTTAAAATCTATTGAGACTTAATTTGTGGGTGAACATATGGTCTGTCCTGGAAAATGTCCCATATGCACTTGAGAAGAATGTACATGCTGGTGTTGTTGGGTAGAGTATTTTGAATATGTCTGTTAGATCTAGTTTGTTTATTGTGTTAAGTCTTCCATTTTCTTATATATCTTCTGTCCGGTTGTTCTGTTCACTATTGAGAGTGGGGTATTCAAGTCTCCAACTATTATTGTAGAGCTGTCTATTTCTCCCTCTAATTCTGTAAGTTTTTGCTTTGTATATTTTGATGGTCTGTTATTAGGTACATAAATGTTTTATAATTGTTACATCTTCTTGTTGTGTTAGACTTTTTATTACTATATAATGTCCTTCTATGTCTTTTATAACCTTTTTTTGATTTAAAGTCTATTTTGTGTCATTATTATATAGCCACACCTGCTCTCTTTTGGTTACTATTTGCATGTAACATCTTTCCACCCTTTTACTTTCAATGTATTTGTGTCTTTGGACCTACAGTGAGTCTCTTGTACTCAGCATATACATAGTTGAGTCATGTGTTTTTATCACTCTGCCAATCTTTGTCTTTTGATTAGAAACTTTTATCCATGTACATTTAAAGTGGTTAGACAAGGGGGGACATACTTTTGTCATTCTGCTATTTGTTTTATATACGGTTTATGGCTTTTATTGTCCCTCATTGCTTCCATTACTGCCGTCTTTTATGTTTAGTTGATTTTCTGTAGTGAAATGTCTAAACTCCTTTCTCATTTCCTTTTGTGTATGTTCTATAGCTATTTTCTTTGTGGTTACCATGGGGATTACATCAACATCCTAAAGTTATAACATTCTAATTTGAATTTCTACCAGCTTAACTTCAATAACATTCAAAAACTCTGCTCCTTTACATCTCCATCCCTACCCCTCTCAGTTATTGATGTCACATAATTACATCTTTATACATTGTGTTCCAAAATAGGGAAAAAGAATAATGCAGGCAGGGGGAAGGTTCCTTTTGGTCTTCTGGAAGTCATTTCAGCTTGAGGGGGAGGGGCTTACAACAATGAGGTAAGGTGCAACAACAATGACTGCCATCTTTCTGTCTTCACTTCTGTGAGCAGAAGCAGTAATCAGCCGTCAGAGGACAGATCTTTCAAATTTGGAGGACAGGGTCCTTTTTGCCCACCATGGTTCCTGCAAGCTGTGTTCAGGTTCCTCCTGGAACACGTGCACACTGCCTGCAATGGAGTTAGGAGTGGGAGATGGGTAGCTGCTACTGTGCTAAGAGCTGAAATTGACCAAAAAAATTTTTTTTTCTGGAAATCCCCTTACCTTCTAATTTTTAAACAAATTTATTCATTTTATTCTGGAATGACCAAAATTAACTGCAATGTGCCATCCAAGTCTTCCCCTGGAACTTTCAAGCATTCAGTAGATTTCAGAGTTCTAAAATAGTCACATCAGATTCTGCCAGTGCAATTGTTGCCTAGGTGGGCAGACAGATTCCTGGTGCTTCCTACTCTGCCATCTTCCCAGAATCCTCCTATCCATTTTTAACACATGAGAAAGCTAAGGTACAGAGAAGTAATTTTTCAAATCACACAGATAAAAAGTGGTAGAAGTGAAATTTGGACTCAAGGTGCTTGGCTACAGTGGATATCGCACTCTTAAGTCTATGCTCCACTGCTTAGGGGGGAGCAAAATAAGGGAAATTGGTTTATTACATAAAACTTCAGTTCACACAATTGAAAAGAATAAACAAGCGAGTTAACAGATATTCATTTGGTTTGTAAAATGGAGGTAAGGTTTTGAAGTTACAAGTTTACAAGTATTAATAGTATTGGGAGTGCAATTCTGGATGGGAAGGAGGCAAGCCTTCCTTTTGGGGTGTAGGATGGAGAGCTGAAGTCTTCATGGGGGCCCCAGGAGGTAAGCACATGTCCAAACCAATGGCCTCTTTCTAATATAATACTGGTGCCCTCAAGGAAAAAATTAGGTGGAAAAGAGTGAGTGTCAAAGAGGCCTCTGTCTAAGAGCCAGGTATGCCTGTAGAGTGCTCCTTGTGAGAAGGGTGAGTATCTTTTACTTGCACAGAAATAGAATTATGGGAACTCTCTGAACATATTTTAAAATGTTAAAAAAAAAAACCCAAAGGGACAGAGTCATTTGTGATGTATGATTTACAAATAATTCTAAATTTACTCCTCTGGTGTTATATTTGTACACCAAAGTGTACACAAAGAATATACAAAATTGACTTTATTATAAATTTTGCAAACATTTTAAAAGCCATTCCTATTACTATTTGGATGGTAATTCTTCAGATATGCTCCCTCTTGGGAACTAAAAACACTACTAGTCAGAATTGTGTTCTATTAATACTGTTTGATTAGATGTTCAGAGGATAGACAGGCTTTGAAATCAGATTAACTGTCTCAAACATACATGTTAAAAGATAATAAATAAGAGTCTCCTTATATCATTAAGATTTCTCATAGCTTTTCCCAATATTCTACAACTGATTAAACTCTATGTTAACTCACTGTAAAAAATAATTAAAATATGCATGCTTTCCCAATTTTTAAATTGCTAACTAAAGAAAAAGAAGAAAAACAAAGAATTATATTTGAATTTTTTGTCCGCATAAAATACGGTTTTTGGAGAAAACATTGCTGAAGAGTAACATCAGTAAATCTTAACTCTGTGACACAGTCTGCATATCTTCAGGTAGGTTTTAGAAATATACCTTGACAATGTATGAGTATAGCACAAAGATAGAATTAACAAACCTTCTCTCTAGGGAAAGCCTCATAGCAGCAGCTTTCTGAGAAGATCTATCTGTAGCACTAATCCCATTGCTCAAAACAAAGGCCTCATTTGCACAGAGGGACTGCTTTCCACTTTGTTAAATTCTAAGGCATTTGAGACTGACATCTACATTTCTCCCCCACTAAAATGCACTCTAGTTACTAAACTGATCAATTGTTCATTGCTTAACAGGTTTTAAAAGTAAAGATACTAATCAGTTTTGGGCTTTGTAATTACATGGTTTCTTGGACTATTTAGAAACTGATTAGCTATGACTGAATTAATATTTCAGAGATTCGGAGGATATAAACCTAACAGTTTGGATTCTTGACCTGCGTATGAAAGAAACATTTTAATGGGATTCCTAATGATTGAATTATTCCTAATATATATCATTGGTCATGCAGTTGATCCAGTTTTTCATGTTCCCAAGTCTGAAAATCAGATTTATATTAACATTTTCAGTCTAAAATTCCTGGTTTTAGTTCTGTATGTGGACCCAAAAGCCAGCTGTGCCTTAGACCTTGGGCTCAAATCGTTTGTTTTAATAAAGGAGTGGACAAAGCTAAAAGCTCACTTGCTACCCAAATGGAGAGCTTGTAAATGGAACAAATCCCTGATGTGCTCTTTGGGCTATCTGTGCTCTACTTTGGGTTTTGAAAGAGTAACCTTAATATTAGCAATATATTGCAGGGACACAATTTGTATGGAAATAAATTGGGATAGATTTGTTCCAGACTCAAACATGATTTCTCCCTGATACTGGACTGAAAGACTTGATGATGTCTTGGCAACCTCAAGTACAAACTAGCCACCTGAAAGCAAAAGATGGAAAAGCATCTACCCTCCTCTCAGGTTACAGGAGACAATTTCCACCTTCATGATAATGATTTTTTCATATTCAATGCTTACTGCTGCTGCAACATAACCAATCTCTGCTTATTATACAATACATAAACAATCTTCCTCCATTTCTGCCTCCCCCTCCCAGCCTGCTTCCTCTGTATTCCACTAGGCTTTACAGAAAAAGTGAGTTGTTCCCATTTATACTTCATCCAGACAGTTCTGAGACTGTCAAATCTGATAATTTTGGACTAAGTGAGTGGATCAAAATAGTTGTAAATGAACCAAACTTTCAATCAGATGTGATTTGAGTACATAGTGCTATAGTTTAGTTGTAATAGAAAGTATAGGAGCTTAAAAAGCCTAGAATAATTCAGACTAAAATATCTTGGGGTCTTTTTCCATTTTAAAGTGAATTGAGCAATTCTCTGTGGTTAAGGATTGACAGCATAATGGAAACAGAGCAAGCTGCAGAATTGCTCACCAGGTAACCACATTAGCAGCAAAACTCATAATGTAGTCTGTTGGTTGAAAAGAGCATGAAGGAGACTTCTATTTTCTTATGAGGTGCCATATGCTCATAGTTCTTGGCCAATTATACCAACCTACTGCAAAATTGCAGTTATTGGAAAATGCTCTCTATCCTACAGCCTTTAGCAATATAATGAGAGCCCTCATGGATATTGGTTCTTCTTATAATTTGTTTATTAACATAGGTAAACATACTTACAACTGTTTCCAAATATTGCCTTCTATTTATGATGCACGAATATGTATAACACAAGATATTGCTATGTTGTAGCAATCCTGAATATTTCTATATTTCCTGAGCATTGACTAAAGGTTAAATCGGTGGGCAAATGTTTCAGTGATCTTTGAAAATTTTATATTTCACAGTCATTCTATTTTTTTTAGACAGAACTTTTTGTGGGATAAGATGCATAGCATAAATGTAAACAAACAGTTCTCATATAAACTTTATGTACATTCTTGTTCATAGTTTTCACTTACCAGAATCAAGAGGCAACTTGAGGCCAGTTTTGTGTGCTCAGGGATGGTAGAAAACACTGACAAAATCAAGCAACCAAAGACAAGGAGAAAACTGTAAAACAACAACAAAAAAGAGAAATCTGATAAGAACTTTGCCTTATCATTAACAGACTTAACTTCTTGTTTCTAATGAATAAAGCGGAAGACCCATTAGAACTGGCATAGATTAAACCATAAAGACCCTGGAAGGTACTAGCCATTTTGAATATCAAAATGCAATATGATATACAGTGCAAAATGGGGCGCTTTCCAACTTTATGGATGAAAAGAAGGTTGCATTTGTGGGCTTGTACGCGTGGAATGCTACATTCAAATGTACATATCTAAGAATCTGTGAATTTTCCACACAACTCCTTTTCCAAGTAGAGATCCTGAGAAAGGCCCAGAAGGTGTGTTCTTGCTCTTCTATGCTGGAAGCACATGTTGTAGCCGCCCTTCTTTCAAAGAAGCAGAATCTGCCTCATGTTTGGCAGCTTTGGTAAACCATCAGATAGATGTTCTAAGTGGCTGTTACTTAGAGTCTGATATTGCTCATGGATTTCAGAGTCATTTTCAGAGTCTGATATTGCTCATGGATTCCCATTTGTCATTTCTTTATATTAATAGCAAGAATAAGAAAGGAAATGGATGATTCCCTCTGCTATCCATGCACTTTTCATTTCTTTCCAATCAAACTGATAGAGAAATGACCCTTCAGCTATGTCTATTCATATGTGATGATAGGGAGCAGAAGTCAGGAACAGGCATTTTCTACCTAATCAACCTACGGACATTTTTATTCCTAGAAATAAGGAACTTCCAGGACCAAGAGGGGAGCTGAGTTCCCAAGAGAAGCATCTAATATAAGAGAAGGCTCTGTTTCAAAGTTGAAGTAACTTATCTTGAAGTGCAAGATTAAAAAAAAACAACAAAACCAAAAACCACCCAAGCTACTTGCTCTAGGCCATTTTTCACTTTTACTCATCACTGGGAAATTCACAATAAGCACGCTTAAAAAATACCAGTTTCTGTGTTCCTCTGTATGGCAGTGGAGTTAGTCCCTGCCTCCTCTTGGCTTTCCCTGAAAAAGTCTTACAAGTCTTTCTACTACACTTGACTGGAAGCTCCTAAGTACCAATAGCCAGGGATTGACTAATTATGCCTGTGGAACAAATCTGGCCCCTAATGCCTGTTTTTGTAAATAAAATTTTATTGGCACACAGCCACACTCATTCATTTATGTATTGTCTACGGTTGCTTTCTTACTATGACTACAGAACTGAGCAGTTGCAACAGAGGCAGTATGGTCCACGAGACTAAAATATTTATTATGTGGCCCTTTAGATAAAAAGTTTGTTGACTCATGACTGATACCATCTATTTCTTATTTCTTTATATCTCCTCCAACAGACCTGGAGTGGAAGTTCATAACTACTCATGTTCTGTATGCTGATGATAATTACTAGCATTCAGAGAGGGTTTCCTATAATCTAGGCAAGCCCCCTTTATACGCATTCTCCCATATTAGCCTCACAAATTTATGATGCAGAAATCTTATTATCCCCATTTTACAAATATAAAAACCAAGAATGAAGAACATGTTGAAACTCATCCAAGTAGCAGCCCAAGCACTGTCTGTGTGGTCTAAGCCTCCACATAGTGTTACTGAATGAATGAGCATGCATCGATGGGAATGGCAGTAACATTCTTGGCTCCGGGAGACTTTTGGGGATACTTCTCTATTTCCTCAAACTGAGAGGGAAGTAGCTGCCGTTCCAAATATCATTAATAGCAGTCTCCCAGGGGAAGGCATCTACTTAGTGAAAAAATCCTAGGACATGACGTTAATAATGACTTACCAAACTCTTGATTTACGCATCTGATGATTCAAGGTACTTTGGACTAGACTTTAAATTGGCTCCGATGGACTGAAAATTGTAAACTAGTAGTCAAAATCCAGTGCACTTACCTGACCCTCAAACTACCAATAAGAAAGTAAAGTTCAGGGATCACTAAGGTAGTAGGGAAGATGGTGTGGCATCAAATAACAGTGACAGATGTTCCCCTCTGGGTAGTGGCCATTATCTGGAAATGCCCCTGCCCTCAAGTCCTGCTTAACGGAAAACACTAGGAAAAGCCAGCAGGGGATTATTTAATCATTAAGATACCTTCTTTCTCCAAGAGGATTCTAATGGTAGCTTCGTGATCTCTATGTTTGTTTTCAAAGCAGATCTTTTTGCTAGTGCCTTCTTCATTAATATTTAAATGCTGCTTAACCCTTTTTTCTTCATCTCTTTACTTTTCCCATTTTCCTCTTTGAGGCAATGTCACTCTCCTTTATAAAAGAGTAGTTTCTGCACCAGCATTCTGTCATTGCTACAGGGGCCCATCTGAAGACTCCCAGCCAAAGGCATCCACTGCTCTGCTGCCAAGGGGTTACGGCTGGGTGAATACATTCATTAGCTTATCATTCCTGTATTCATTCATTCATTCACTCAACCATTCATCCATTTATCCAATCAACAAATGTTGATTAGGTATATAATGCTAGGCTGAGCTGCAGGGATATAACAAAAACAGGATTAATTCTTTTCTTTCTTTCTTTCTTTTTTTGGCCTCTACAGAGTTTAAAGTCTATTGAGGCATACAGAGGAATAAATAGATGTAAACAGAAAATTGAAATTTTGAATGATGATTACAACAATCGGGAAAATACAGGGGATGACTGGAACATACGGAGAAGGGATTAGGTGGGGCTGGCTGACGAATTTGTGGAGTCCAGTCCAAAATGAAAATGTGGGCCCTTTGTTAAAAAATTATGAAGGATTTCAAGATGGTGACAACAAAGCATGGCACCAACTGTGGCACCTTTGTAAGCGTGGGGCTCCATGCAACTGCGTATGTTGAAGCCAAACCTGGTGGTAGGGAAGACTTCCTCGCGAAAATACTGACCAGACTGAGCCCTGAAGGCCCAGCAGGAGTTAGTTAGGATAATGGTTGGGGAGAAAGAATGCTTTAGTCCATGAAGACTGTGTGCGTAAAAGGCCAAATGCCAGCACAACATCACTGGACTTTACTAATTAATCCATAAATGAGAGTTAGTGAACACCTACTAGCTAGTTTATTCTGCTATACATGAGAAATGGAATGCAAGCCATTCCTGCAAATCCATTCTTTGCATTGGAACTATTTCAATTCAACTGAAAACATGTATTAAATACCTAGTGTGAAAAACACTGTGCTAAGCACTACCGGAGGTACAAGGATAAATTAAAGCAGTCCCTGCCCTTAGGAATTAAAAATCTAGTAAGGTGAGCAAGGTGAGCATCTTGCATCATACTGGAAGATAGAGGCAGATCAGATAAGAAAAATGCTACAGAGGCTCAAAGTGGGGAGTGGTTCTATTAGTTGGAAACAGGAGAGCACATCAAGAAAGTTCCTTTTAAAAAAGGTGGTGCTTGAGATGGTCTTTGAAGTAAGGTAGGGTTTCAACAAGAGAAGTTTCTGAAGTACTATATGAGAAAGGCAGCAAGCCAGAAAATATTTAATAAATAAGGCAAAATATTTGCTCCCTGTTTCACAGAACAAACATTATCAAAGTTTGCAGTATGGGGTAAAATAGGCAGCTGAATTGGGAGTCTGGGGCCATGTTGAGGAGAGGCTGGTAGAGCGGGGTCTGTATTTAGTTCAGCAGACACGGAGAGCCATTGGAGATGTTTGAATGGAGTACTAATGTCACCAGAGGTGCCTTCTGGGAAAATTAAATTGGCAGCAGTGTATGTGGGATGGATCTGAGTGGTGAGAGGTGGGAGCAAGGGTAACAGTGATGCAGGCTGGTTGTAAACTAACACAGTAGAAATAAAAATGGAATAGAGAGGCAGACATGAAGGGGTGCTGTAGATTAGGGAGTAGAGTCTGGGAAAGGGTGCGGTGGCTGTAAAGTCTGAGGTGGCCATGCATAGTCACTGGTGATGTTTCTAACAAGTCAGGAGGAGAAAACTCAAAAAAGTCAGGAGGAGAAACTGAATTTGGGAAGAAGATGATACATCCAGTTTTAGATGTCCATGTGAAAATGTGAATCTTAATCTTGGGCACAAATTCTAGCTGGAGATGTGGAAGAACTTTTTTTCCCCCAGAAGAAGTAAATGTATGGAACATGTTATTTTGAGGACAGTGCAGACCAGGCATATAAGGTTTTGGTAAATAAGCATAAAGGACAATGGAAAACCATTTTTCCGATCGTGGCAAATGAATCACGGAGAACAATGAACACATTCTGGTATGAATTAGCTCTTGGTAGCCTTGCCAGGGACAGACTTCCTAGCTGGAGAAAGCACCGAGCTTTACACAAAGTGACCCCATTGAGGTGACAGTGTTCGGACGGACGTCGGGCTTGTTGACAGTGACATGGTGCCCTGGTGGGCTTTGTGGGTGGCTCTGTTGACATCTCTGCTTCTGAGGGTCCCGCACACATGTACATGTGTTGACAGCTGACTGTTGCCCCACTGCTCCTCTCTATCGGTCGAATGCAAGTGGGAACAGTGGCAAGAGTCACTACACTCAGCGCGTCTTAATCTGGAGCCCATGGACCTCCACGGGATCTGTAGATAGAATTTAGGGGGTTGTTTGGTTTTCACTAACCATGGCAACAAGTCATGATGGTATTAGCAGTTCTTGTGACTTTGCCACTCACAGAAATTACACATATTTTAAAATCTCATCTTACAGTTGTAGACGAAACCATAATTGTTTCATCTTGAATACTGATTTTGCTCATCATTATTTTAAGATTATGGTAGTTATTAGACCCACGGCCAGGCATGGATTTTAATGTATTAATAAAGAAGGATATACATTACCATATCACAAATTTGTTTAATTTTTAACAGTGGCATTTCAACATAATTTTTTTCTTTTGCAATCCCATTTGAGGAATGGTTCATAGTCATCATCAGATTGCTGAAGGGTCTATGGCTCCTAAAAAACTTCAGATGTCTGTGGTTGAGGATTAGGAAGGCAGGGGCTGGGCGCTAGGAGAAGGCCTATTTTGGCACCCATCACCCACTTACCCAG